TTTAACAAGATTGCTTCCAAACTGGCTACTGCAATTGATCAGAATTTAGGCTACTTTTTTTAAAAAAACCTAAATCTGATTTATACAAAAACTGAAAGGGCTGGAATCACACATTTATATTACACTGAAAAAAACAACAACTAAGATATTGACAACCGGTTCCATCACTTCCTGGCAAATAGGAGGAGAAGAAATGGAAACAGAAGTCAGATTTTATATTCTTAGGCTCAAAGATCACTGCAGATGGTGATTGCAGCCACGAAACTATAAGACGCTTGCTCCTTAGAAGGAAAACTATGGCAAATCTGGACCGCGTACTAGAAAGCAGAAACATCACCTTGCTGACAAAGGTCCATCTAGTCAAAACTATGGCTCTTCCAGCAGCAGTCTATGGCTGAGAGTTGGACTATAAGGAAAGCTGAGCACCACAGAATAGACACTTTGGAATCAAGGTGCTGGAAAAGATTTTGCAAGTTCCCTGGACCGCAAGGAGATCAAATCAGTCAATACTTAAAGAAATTAGTTCGGCTATTCAGGCTACTGGAAAGTCAAATACTGAAGCTGAAGCTTAAATACTTTGGCCATATAAGAAGAAGATGGGACTCACTGGAAAAGACCCTGATGTCGGGAAAAACTGAAGGCAAAAGGAAAAGGGGATGAGATTGATAGAGAGTGTCATGGGAACACCAAACATGAACCTGGAGAGCTAGTGGAGGATAAAAGGGCTTGGCATACTATGGTCCACAGGGTCATAAAGAGTTGGACGAGACTGAAAAACTGAACAAAAACAAAAAGACAAAGGTATGAATATGAAGCAGGCAGTGATAATGAAAACATTTTTTTAATGGAAAGAAGTACAAACATTTTTACTTTACATATTTTAATATGTGTAATTATTTTTTCAGTTAGAGACATTATGGCACAGTGGATAGAGAACTGGCTTTCAAACTTGGAAGATCTAGGTTCAAATGCTGTCTTGGACGTGTACCAGCTTTCTTGATCCTAGGCAATTCACTGAAATTGCAGAAGATATGTTGCTCTGCATTAGTAGAAGTTTCCTCATCTGGAATATCAATAAAATCACAGCTCCTGCACCTATCACTATTTTTCAATGTCTTCCCCCCATTTAAAGAGACAGCATGTTAATATTATGGCTTCTATTCAGAATCACACTATATTTCAATAAATAAAATAATCACTTTTATCTCTTCTAGCACACCTTTATAATAAGAAGAAAGACATTATTTTCCAGGAAAATAACAGTATTTGTTTAAAATGAAAACAAAAAAAATTTGGAAGGATTCATACTAATAAAAAGTGGCAGTTCAAAACACTAGACTAATGAATAGCAAAACAAACTTTATTTTGTTGTAGAAACATAGTAGAACATTCTAACCCACAAACATCTTGATCTCTGATCACATTACTCAAGTATCTATCTCCTCAGAAAATACATAATGGCAAAACACAAGAAAAAGTTCTCTTAGTAGTAGTATTTTGCTATTGTTATAACAAATTACTAACTAGAGATGTAGCACAGTGTGGAGAAAGTGCCCACATCAAGCATCCAAGAACCTGAATACAAATTCTGGCTGCATGACTACCCACCTATCTCTGACCCTTAGTTCCATCTTCCGTATAAAGGATTGGTCTTTGGATGGATGCAGTATTGCTAACTGCACCAAGATGGGGAGGGAAATCATACAGTTAAATAGTAACTACAGTTTGGCTCAAATATTAAACTGCAATTGCAATATATATTTTAAAAACGTAATACTGTATATAAGGCACTAAGAACAAGTAAATTCATAAGTAGTCAAATTCACTCTCTATCTTCTCCCCCATAACTACCTGCCACCATGGGTACCAGAGATGCTTTGTTCATTCTTGCAGCAAAAGTTACTTTATTAAGATGGGGGAAAAAAGATACTTAAAATTAACCATTCTAGAAAATACGTAAAGGAGAAAAATGGGAAGGGAGAGAAGAGGTTCAGAAACTGACTGAACTGAATAACTCAAAATGGTAGTTCAGATTTTGTTTTTAAAATGCAAATAAAAATGAAATTTGATGATTATTCAAGAGCATTTTAAACTATTTCACATGAACTCAACTTGCTTTAAAACAAAACACTGATTTTTTAAGCCAAATTTAAAGTGAGTTTCTTAAAGTAAACATACAAAATACGATTGGGATATATACTGACATTCTGCTTATATAATTTTTAAAAAATGATAACTTTAATCACACACAAATATGCTGTATGAACTATACAGCACGCTAGTTTTCTGAGCAGAAAAAAAAAACCTCAATTTTGTTTTTAAGCCAATCATAAGAAGTAAATGAACCATGATACAAAGCACATACAAAATGACTAACTGCCTAGGCAGTCATATCCTCTCTTTTCAATTTGTTTTTAGGGGCTCAGTGAGGTCATCAGGTCATCCTGAGGAACCCTTTAGGGCATGCCATTTATCCCATTTTTTCCCCACCTAAACCAGAAAGTTTCAGGCCTTTTACATTAATTGTTACATCTTAGTTTTGGTTTCTGGAAATTCTCCCTGACTAGAAAACCCGTCAATGCTAAACACAGGTGGAGCCAGTACCCAAACAGCCCCAGGGATCTGTGGGAGATGTAGTTCTATGGATTTCCTCTTCCCCCAAAGGAAGGAAATATTTTAAGAATTGGATTTCTTGAACTCTTTGGATGTCTGTCCCTCCTTTCTTGTCCCCTACAAGTTGCTGAATCATACTTCCCACAAGTACCCCACTATACAATGAGATTTATATTCAATAGAGGATGCCCTATTCAGAGAACTGAAAGAGAAACTATGCATTCTGTGGGGCTCATTGGAGACAGAAGTAGGGGTTCTTTGAACCCTTAGACACAAATTAACTTCAGTTTTACATGGTAAATCTTTCCTATATTTTTTAGTAACACCTCCCCCCCCCAACTCAAAGATAAGTCCTCTCCCAACACACACTGTCCCTTTACTATTTCCTTACTCAAAAGTCAAGAAGATTCTGGAAATTATTTATCAGTTCAACTGAACAAATATTTATACCTTGTGTCATTTATTAGCTTGAACCAAACTACCAAAACATTAATCTCACATTACTTAACATTTTGCACGTTGGTCTGGTCGATTCAATACACATTTATAAAGTATCTACTAAAATGCCTACTATGTGCTGGGAGGGCATTGTGCTCTTCAACTAAATTGGTTCAGTTGTTTGAACTCAGGGATCAGTCTTTGTATCTCACAAAACATGGAAAATGCTGCCCTGCACAAAATAAAGTGGCATATTTATTGATCAATTTACAGCCTTTTAAAAACATATATGATTTATATTCACATTTATATTTATATTTACATTTATTACCTTACAGTCATCCAAGCAACATACCTTGCCTTCTACACCTACTACAATATGCTGCCTCCTATAGAAGGAAAGGTTTTTATGGGCTTGTTGTGTACACAGGATGGCCCAAAAGTCCTAGGGTAGTTCTAGGTTTTAATAACTTATACAGGATGCCCCAAAAGACTCAGTGAATTTTAAGCTAATAAAGCTTAAATTAATAGAACCTAAAACTACAATAAAGACTTAGGGGCCATTAACCCTTAAAACTTCGATTCTTGGGTCATTAAAACTTAAAAGTACACTAAGATTTGGAAGCCACCCTATATAATCTTCTTCATATGAATGAGCATTTGAACCCTTCATAGAAGTCCTCTCAGAGCTAGAAAAACCATCCACCCTTTCATTTCTCTAGTACCTTCCTAACCTTCAATCACCACTATCTCCTAACATCAATAAGGTTTGGAAAAACAGCTGGAAACATAGAGTTGGAAAAATTAAAATGCATTTTATCTTTACACCCTGACATAGGCTATAGGAATATTAGCCTATTAGGTACACATAGTCTCTGTAGTATGCCTATGTATGTGTGCGTTTACATATACACACACACACACACAGAGGAATAATACAGGAATATATATTCCTATACATTTATAGAGGAGGGTGATATTCTTCACATATAGGAATACAGTGTCCTATATAGGAATACATATTCTTCATACATGGGAATATTATATATACACTCCTATATATTAATATACCCTTGCTATATTTATAGCCAGGAAAACAACTGCTTCTACATCTGGAACTCTAAAAGTACTGTGCGAAGGAAGGAGGTGCTGGCGGTGGGTGGGAGGGAGGGTACCATGGGGGACGCCTCCTCCAGGCTACGTACACCCTATTTCTGAGCCGGCCCTAGATCCCTAGTGTGCCCGGTTACGGTTCTACTCCCGGCCCTGCTTTATCCCTTAGGCTGGGGCCTCAGCTCCGTCTTTGCCCTTCTACCTTCCCCTCCTTTGCCCCCCTCCCACACCTAACTTACACTTGGAGTCCAGAACCCACCCCTACTTTGCCCCCTCGCGACCCATCTCTGCCCTCGCCCGGAGCCCGCAGCCCGAATTCTCTCCCTCGCCTTCCACTCTCCTCCTCCGCACTACACCCCCCCCCGCCCCAACAAACTTCACTTTCAAGACTTGGCTGAGGCTAAACCCTGACAGCTGGCCCTAACCAATCCGCGAAGGAAACATAAGCGATGTGGCCAATGAGAGGAGGCCGGCTGAGTGGCGGGAGGCGGGACCTCGCTCAAGTTCCTTAGGTCTGGAAACCAATCGACCTGTTGCGGCCGTCGCTGCCGCTGCCGCCGCCTCCTCCTCCTCCTCCTCCTCCACCTCCTCCTCCTCCTCTAGAGCTGCGGCGGCCGCGAAGTTTCTTGGTTACGGCGGCAGCCGCCAAGGTCCGTGACCGTTACCGGGGCCCGCAACTCCCCTCCGAGGCCCTCACAAAAAAAAGAGGCAGCCCCCGGAGGGGGGGAGGGGGCGTCGCGCCCCGCCCGGAGTGAGGAGGCTGCGCCCCACCCCCGGCTTTATCCCTTCCCCTCCCCCGGCCCGGGCCCTCCTCTGCTCCCTCGCCGCTCTCTTACCAGGAAGTTGAGTTTTCCCTCCTCCCACCCGTGTGGGACCCGACACCGGTGGCTGGCAGGGGCTCTGCGGGGTGCGGCCCGAGAAAGGCCCGCTGGGGCCGGGGGCTGTGGCTTCGAGGTCTGGAGCCGATCGGCCTCCTCACTCCCCGCCGGCCCCTTCCGGACGCTGCAGGCTGGGGCACCCGTCCGGCGCACCGAGAGAAGCTTCCCGAGGGCGAGACTAGCGGCGGCCCATCTCCCTCGTCCTGCCCCTGCTGCCGCTGTCAGCAGTGTAAACATCCCGGCATCCCCGAGGAGAGAGGCGGGGCCGGCACTCCGGCCCCTCCTCCCCGCCCCTTCCCCAGCGCGCGCCTCACCCCGGCCCGCCCCGCGGGATCCAGTGCGCGCACGCGCCTCACCTGGGTACCCAAGTCCAGTCTGGGACTATCAGCTGTGAGCTCACCTGCCTTCTTGCAGATGTCCGGACGGGACCGGGGGGTGCTACGCTCGGGATGTCCAGTCACAGCACCCATCTTCGCTTAAACTTGTCCCCACCCCACCCTCAGTCCCACTCGTATGGAACGAGAAAATCAAGCGAGGGATGAAGTGCAGGAATTTTGCAACAACTTTTCTAATTTCGCTCGAAGCAGAGGACCAGTTAGTTCCCCACTGCACTAAGTTGGGGTTTTATCGTTTTAATTTAAATGCCCCACTGTTAACTTGAGGTAAACCGAGTTGGCGCACCCTTTCCTTTACAAAACCACAGACCTTTTACGGGGCTGGTGAGGATACACCTCCTGGATTGATATTTGTGCAGGGAAAGAAGGGATAGAGAGCAGCCTTCCAAGAGCAGGGTAAACAAAAGAAAGTGACCTTGTGTAAAGACTCCTGAGTGGAGTGTACTTTAGAGACTGACACTCAGCTGCGATACTCACGCTAGCTGCCCTGGTTTCTTTGGCGTCAGGCCAGATTCCCCCATTAGGAGCTTCCCAGAGATCATTCCTGGAGACACCCTTAAGTTTATTATTCATTTTAGCACTTTTAAAATTTATCGAGGACTCTCCTTACAATTCTGAACTAATTGAATTAATATCCAAGCTCGTGGTATTGGAGTGGGGAGGGGCGGGTGGGTAGGATTAAATAAACTATAGCCGGAACATCTTGTTTTTAGCAAGCATGATCCCGAAGAGAAGCCAGGAATTTTGCAAAAAAAGGAAGATAAAACGCGGGAGAACCAAGCCGAGCAAACACTGCTACAATTAACAGCTACTATTATGAAGGAGTGTGGTCTGCTAAAAAAAGAAAATTTATATTAAATATGGCCCTTATACTCAAAGGATACAAACCACTGCATTACACCATGCTACCTCTCCTTAGATTTTTTTCCTAAGCATTTATAATCTCTACCGTTTATTACCCCTTCGCTGACCAACTAAAAAAACGAAAAAGTCCACACAACAAATACATGTAATTATGCAAAACAAATTTTAAAATGCAAGTCTCCTAGACTGAAGTTCATCAGCTCCTTGGTAGGAAGTGTATAGCAGGATTCATCAGTCCTCTGGATACATGATTCAGCATTTCATTATTCAGTTCCAGAGTCTCAAAGTTGTGTTTTTTCCCTTGAGTCATTATATAAGTTGTACTAGTTCTGCTCACTTCACTCTGCATTAATTCACTGAGATCTTCCCACTTTTCTGTGAAACTGTACATTTGATCATTTCTTATGGCACAGTAGTCTATTACATTCTTATGCCACAATTTGTTCAGATTATTCCCAATAGGTGGACACCCCCTTAGTTTCCAGTTTTGGTCTTCTGTGAAAAGAGTACCTATAAATATTCATATACTTATGGGTCTTTTTCCCTATTTTTTTTTATCTCTTTGGGATATATCTCTTAGATTTTTTAAAAGACATCTATAGAAGAGAAATAGTTAACTGAAAATAAATCAGTCAACAAGTATTTATTAAGCACCCCTTATGTTCCAGGAACTGGGGACAAAATCAAAAACAAAAGTTTCTGCCCTCAAAGAGCTTACAGTCTACAAAAGAAAAACATGCACGTAAGTAAAATCAAATTACATATTAAGTAAATAGTAACTTATGTTAAGCACTAAGAAGCTGGGAGCAAACAGAAAGCCATCATGTAAGACAGCACTTGAGCTGAACTTTGAAAGAAGAGAAGAATTCAAAGGAGTAGAAGTGAAAAGGAAAGGCATGCCAGAAATGAGGGATGGCTTATGCAAAGGCACAGAAATGGAAGACAGAGTAAAGTAGCAAGTACTGTATGAATACTATAGGCAAGCTAAAAGTCATAGTACTAGGTGGTTGAAGCAACTTTCCTACTCATCTTAGTTCTTTGGCTTTCTTTATTCTATAGATATACCCAGATAACAATCTCAACTGGCTTCTTGGTTTATGGATGCATTTCTTCCAACTTTAATTGTACCTTCTAAGTTGGGGATTTTTGCCCAATATTTTCTTACATTGAGAGTGGGGCAGGGGGAAGGGGAGAGACTTGACATGGGGGTTGTAGTGTACTACAAGCTCAAAATAAGTCAACAGTGTGACCTAGCCACAAAAATTAAAACTAAAGGGAAGAGAAGGGAGAGAATGAGCATTTACATAGCATCTACTATGTGCCAGGCACTGTGCTAAGCACTTTACAAATATATATTTATAAATATCTCAACCCTCTGAGGTAGATGCTATTATTATTCCTATTTTACAGATGGGGAAACTGAGGCAAACAGAAATTAAGTGACTTACCTAGGGTTACACAGCTTGTATGACCTGTGCCACCTAGCTACCCTAGTCCCATACTGCCAGATTCCCACCTCAATTCCCCCTGTAACTACCCCAGAAATGTTTACAATGTATTTGTTCCTAGTTGTAATATAGTACAATGTTTGTGTATAATGTTAGATACCCTTTGCATAAGTTTAGGATGCTACTTCTCATACATGTTTAATCTTCCTAGTTTGATACCCATGTAACATAATTGTAAACTTAACAGCTTTAAAAATATTATGGAGAAGACTGCCACATGTTTCCTCTTTGTATTACCTTAGACAAGATCTTTTCTAGTGAAGAACAATTATTTACATAATCCTAGAACTTTAAATGACACTTTAGAATGAGAAATCTTATTGGAAAATCATGCACCCTAATAAAATAAGTACTATTAAAAATAACTCTTTGAAAAGAGTTATAAGTAATATGGTGAGAAGGAAAAGTCCGTTTCTGTTAGTTCAAACATAGGAAGCTGGAAACAGGTGTAGTTAAGGGGCTGCTTCTAGGATTGGCAAGTCATTGAGGTTGGCAGCAGCTTACAGCAATGGAGCTCTGTCAAGTTATTGAAATGTCTAGTCTGAACTGAGTCAAGAGGTAGAAGCCAAAATATAGCCTTCAGACAGTTAGAGGGATATCATTTTAGCTTGGCACTGACTGTGGTCAATGAACAGTGTTAGAAAATAAATCTTGAACTTTGAAAATTCTTAAGAGGAACATTAATAGGTTATTTTGTCATACATGGAATAGCAATTTGCATTTAACTTTTTTATGAATCACAAAAGTCAGTTTACAAAGCAGGAAATTCAACACGAATGAGCTTTTTACATCAAATCTTTTAATTTCACACTCTCACACTGCCTACTTTCCTAGTTGCAGTTACTCTTTTAGAAGGATACTTTTCACTACCTAAGCATGGTGACACAATAGTCATAACTTTTCTTCTTCCTTTAAAATGATATATCAAGAAATATCACTTTTCATACTAGTTATAAAACTGTTTGAAAATTAAAATTTTTCAAGGCATTGTTTGTTCAGTTCAGGTAAATGAATAACACATTCTATACTATAAGTTTGCCTGGCTTGATTGAGAGTGTTCAATCAACTAATCAACAATCATTTTTTAAGTACTTCTACTTGGCACTGTGCTGGGCTCTGGGGATCCAAAGAAAGAAGTAGGAGTCCCTGACATATTTTAATGCAATAAACAACATGGCACATATGTAAGCAGATACAAGATAACCTAGTGGGTATAGGAAAAGACTAACACTGAGAAAGGCCTTATTCAGGGAAATCCTGAAGGAAACCAGGAATTCCAAGAGGTGAAGCTGAGGACAGAGTACAAATTCTGGCTGTGATATTGACTGACCATGTGACCTTGAGAGGTCACTTAACATCTTTGAGCAAAGGTTTACTTTCTTTAAAATGAAGAGATTGGTTGAAAACAAATTTTTTTTTAAAAAATGAAGAGATTGGATCTCTCTAAACTTCCTTTTCTTCGTAGATACTGTAGATTGGATGTGCTTACTATTCCTCAGCATTTTATTTAAGTGACTCTCAACACTGCAAACTAATTGGGAGCAGTCACAATAATAGTCTAAAACAATCTGAACAGATATATGTGACAGGGATTTTTTTTTAACATGCTTACGTTGCAGCGCCTTTGAGGTATCCCTCACTTTGTCCTCTCACTGATAGATTGGGTCCCCAGGGAAGGAGGGGTGGGGAAGGCTGCTACCTCAGGTTGTAGAAGTACCCTATGGCCTACACTTCTACTATCACTATAACTCATGAGCCTCCATAGTGTACTTCCCATTAACAAGCATCCAGCAGATACAATTATTCTGTGCTACAGTATTTATTAAAATAAAATATAAGAACAGTCTAGAAAACATTCCCCACATAAACTTGGGCCACACTTGGCCACAAATACAGGATCTTTGGGATACTGTATCAATAATACTGATAATCCATATGGGATTCATGTGTAGCAAAAGCAACTTGCAAGTCCTAGCACTACAGAGCCTGGAAGACATTTTTATCTTTGTAGAGTATTCATGCTGTGTTCCAAGGGTCTGTTCTTCTGACTCTTTTCTCTACTGCCAAGGATTCCATCCCTTGAAGCTGCTTCCTCCCCTCCTCTCTACATCCATATCTATCTGGAATGTGTCTCTCTGCTCCCTGTTGATTACAGTGTCTCCTACTGATCTAGTAGTCCCCTTCAAATCTGTGCATCTAGTGTAGAAGGGAAAGAGAGAAAAAACACCTCTCCCCTTCCTGCAGTGATTTCACTCAGCAACTGCTTCTTGACTTTCTCTGGCTCCTCAGGGCCTAGCTATTCAATACCTCCAGACAATAAAGTTGTTACCTTCTTGACTTAATCACAGGGTCAATTTACCTCATAAAGGGATGGGGAAGGGGGTGGTGATAAGGTCTCTACAGTTAGTTTAACATCTCATAGGTACCTTGGGACTACATTCTGGACTTAATAACATAATAAACTACTCTGCTATACCATAACATACCCATA